ACATAAACTAAATTTCTTAGATAAAAAATGATATTATTTATATACTGATAATATATCAAATATAAATTCATTAAATACATGTTAATATTGTTCGTTTCTTATGTCATAAAGAAAATTTTAAGAACACTTCCATGTAACTTGCAATCGAGCAAACTAGCATATGTACCGATTTGCTTTTTAGATGAAATGATAATGCAAGTAAGCAAATTTCCTCTTAGATTTTAATGATAAATATGCATCAAAATTTGTGTCCACATAAAACACATAATTTTTTTATTTTATTAAATTCATATATAATTTTTACTAAAATTTAAATTTTATCGCTTTTATATCATTTTTATATTATATTTTAGATTGTCGAGTCTAATGCAAACATAAATATTAGCATTTTATCTTAATATCTATTTGTTTTGCTTTCTACATTTTCAAGTATTTGTTTGGCAGAAAACTGACTGATCAACGAAAAATGACTTATTAATCAATAAAAAATGATGTAATTTTTTCAAAAATTATCTTCCCTTTAGAAAAAGAGAAGACAATTTTTGAAAAATAGCTACTTATAAATAGAACTACTTATCAACATGTTTGAGCATAATTTTACTCAAGTTGGACCTTGTACATGATTTTTTTAAAATTCAAACTTAATTTAACCCTTCAAAAAATATTATTTATTAAATATTATCATATTAGTAAATAATATTTTTATTTAATTTTACTTTAAAATAAAATATTAATATTAAAAGTCTTTTAATACTTAAATTTTTAATATTTTTATAATTTTACTCAAATAAGACTTTGAACAATTTTTTTGGTAAGCTAGAACTTGATTTGATTCTACTTAAAATATTATTATATTAATAAAAATATTTTATTTAATTTTAATTAAAATATTAACATTAAAAGTTCTTTGATATTTCAATTTTAAATATTTTTATTTTGTATATTATTAAACATAAATATTTTTAATATTTCAATAATAAATAATATTATATTATTATTTTAATAACGAATAACAATATATAAATCAAATTGTACGGATGCTTTTGTATTTTATTAAAATGATGAAATTAATCTTTCCACTAAAAATAGTACAAATTAAATCCCTATACAATAACAATTTGTACAATCTAGTAAAATTAACAACATGGGTTACTGATGGCTAACGTGAATGTTGATTTTTTTGATGTGATAGTTGACTTTGTATATATGATGAACTTTTTTTTCATTTGAGCATTAAAGGCTGACGTGAATTTTTTTTTCTGTCAAGTTAGGAAAAATGTTAACGTGGTAAATTTTTTTGTCCATTCCCTTAGCACAACTACGTCATTTTGATGAGATTATATAAAGGCAAAATCATATTTTTCCTTATTTTCTTTTCTTTCTTCTCTCTTTCTACCGGAGCCTTCTTTCTTTTCGGTTTTTAGGCTGTCGCTATTTGTCACTATGCAATTGCTGATAGCTGCACTCTGCCGCTATTCGATGTCTTTGAAGCCTAAAATCTCATTGTTGATTCCTTTCAGCCTCCTCATCCCAAATCAGAGCTCATTTTTTTGAAAATCGTCCTCAACCACCTTAAATCTAATGCGGAAAGGCACGACCTTCCACCACCATTTTTGCTCCATTTCACCATCTGATTTGGCTGAAATTTCAATATGTTTCTCTCCTCTTAGTGCTATTCACGCTTGTGGGTTCCGATCTTCAAGAATCTAGTCAGTCTTCTTTGACCACCACTAATGCTGCCAGTAGCCCCTCCTTCCTCCTTGTCCTATTTTTTGCTTAAAACTACAACCAAGGACAATGGAGACCACCAAAAACCCTCCTATCTCTTCCTATTCTCCTCTTCTCTCTACAAACTTCAAACTCTTAAAACTTCGGATTTCAGCCTGCCTCCATTGTGACCATGAGCTACCAATCACCACGACTTGTCAACAGCCTAAAAAACTTCCTCCAATTCCTTCTATTTATAAGATCCAAAAAATAAATCGAAACCTTTAAAAACAACTCCCTACTCAATTTCTGTTATTTGCTTGGAGCTTGGATTTTAGTTGTTTTTGTTGGGTGTGCTAAGTATTGCGTATGTATCGTAGGAAACTGGTTATGTTTGCAGGATTGCTTCTTTCTTGTTGCTAATTGTTTTGTGCTTGTTGGTTTTTGTGTTCTATGAATGTAGTAGCTGGGTATTGGGCTTTTCTAGGTGTGTGAGAGGTCGATTCTATGTGTTGACTCTGTTTTAATTCTTTGTTGCTAGGAATTTGACTGATGGGTGGTTTCTGGCAATATTAGGCTAGCTAGGAATGGGAACTGATTATCAAGTCTTGCTCGATTCTTCTTTGTGTGTTCCCACTATGTTTCTGTCTATGATTTCTATGTAATTTCTCCGTGTTCTTTGGGTTTCAAGCTTTGAAGAGGGTGACTTTTTTTAGAGAATTGAATTTTTTTTAATAAGAATGAGATGAAAAGATAAAAAAAAAATTTGTTTTTTGTAATTAAAAAAATTTGCCACATCAACATTTTTTCCCAGCTCGACAAAAAAAAATTTCACGTTAGCATTTAATGACAACTGGAAAAAAAAATTCGACACATATACAAAGTCAACTGCCACGTTGAAAATGTCAACATCTACGTCAGCTACAATAACAGCAACGGTAACCCACGTTATCAATTTTACTAAATTATATGGATTGTTATTGTATAAAAATTTAATTTCTACCATTTTTAGTGAAGGGATTAATTTCACCATTTCAATAAAATATAAGGAGCATTTGTACAATTTGACCTAACATATATAATAATATTTTTATTATTTTAATAATTAATGTTAAATAATATAATAATATTTTTTCTAATATGAATATTTTAATAATTTCATATAATTTTTTTGTTTAAAATATATAATTTTATATTTTATTTATTAAGGTATTCATATTACTATTTTAATAATAAATATAAATAAAAAAGATTTTTGTTATGATTTAATGATAGATACTTTTAATATAAATATAAATATTTTATAGTATAAATATTACTATTTTAATATTAATAAAATTAGTATTTTAAGAATAATAATTCTATTTTAAATATTTTAAAATATTAATATAAAGAATAATAAATAATTTTATTTTAAGTTTTTTATATTAATATGATATTTTAATATTAAATATTATTATTAATATATAATTATTCTTAAATATTAATAATTTTAATAATTTCAATATATTTTAATAATAAATTATTTTAATATTTTAATAATTATTTTAATATTATTTAAAAATAAAATTTTCAAAAAACAATTAAATAATAAAAAATATTTTTATTAATTTATCTAAATATTTTTCAAAAATATCTTTTAAAAATTATTTTTTGCAAACAAGAAAACTTAGTGTGTGTTTGGCTCATGAAAATATCTTTATTTTTTATTTTTATTTTCAAAAAAAATAAAGAATGAGTGAAAAAACTTGTTTGGTTGAAAAATAAAAATTATTTTTTGAAAAATGAAAATGAAAATAAACTAAATTTAAAAAATAAAAAATTGTTTTTAAAATTTTCAATGAAAACATTTGAGAAAAATAGAGAATATGAAAAGAGGGGACTTTAAAATTTTTTCAATTTTGGGACAAAGGTTCTAATTTCGAATAAATTGCTTTGCTAATATATATATATATATATATATATATATTTAATTTTTCACTGCGGTTTTGTCTTTCCTTCTATTCTTTCCTTCCCGTTTTGTTTTTCTGGTTTTTCTTCTTTAATCATCCCTTCTTCTTTCTCCTATTTTCCCTGTTTATTTTGGCGCATGTCAAACGTTGCACAGCTAACATCGTCGATCAAGCTAGTTTGTTGGCTGCGACTTGAACCTTTCCCTTCCCTTTCCTGTCCCACCTCTTTTTGCGTCAATTCAAACAGCCACACTTCATTCTCACCTCTCTTTTTTTTAAAGTAAGTTCTTAGAATTATATATAAAATTATCAAACATCCCAATCATTGTTGACAATTGGAGCAAGTTATGATGTCAAGGATGCACATGGGCGTGCTGCCTATAATACAATTAAGAAACTGGGTGTTATTTTGAGGCAAAGATCGGATAATGCGAGGGAAAGCATGGCAGCTACTTTGGTTACAATACGTGGAAAAGGGGGATCGGAGTTTATAGCGGAGTTGGCAGCGATTCTAAGGATTGAAAGGATTATATGGGAAGTAAATGGAACAGGTACCCTGAGAGCGAGAGGAAAGGCGACAACGCTGCCAGGAATTCTTCGAAGATGGCCTGCTGGTTTGGATATTAATAATTTTGTGGATAGTTCAAGTGTGATGACGACGACAGTGAGTACATCCAGAATCGTATTACCAGCATAATTGATGATATTTGTTTCATTCTTTTCCATTCAATTTAAAGATGAGTATGTAAATGTTGGATTGTAATTAAGTTGCGTAAAATCTCACTAAGTGAAAAACCGTTCTTTGATAGGTCATGAATCCTGGTTTTATTGATTCTCACAATTTTTTTTATTTTTGGGGTATTATGGTTGTCAATGTTTTTAGGTTTTGCTTCGAGACAATTTTAAATTACAGCAATTTATTTTAATTAAAAAAATACAGATATCAAATATGTTTTTTAAAATTTAAAAATTAAAAATTATTTTTAAAAAATAAAAATAAAAAATAAATATGAAAAATATTTTCATTAATAATCGGATTAATTTTATCATGATTTATAATTATTGTTTGTCCGTTGGTGACGTAGCAATTTGTCTTTAGATTTGTCCATGATTAATTTATTCATCTGTCTGATAAAAAGAAACAGATGCCCTTCATATCATCATTCACACAGATATTAGCTCATTTTGAATGCTTTGCTTTGTGACCCTAGCTTGGCTTCAAATTCTCAATCAAATGTCACGATTCCTTACCCACACATCACTTCAATCACTTCTTCCTCGCTCTCTCTCTCTCTCTCTCTGGTGAGATGCAACTTCACTAGCTCAGTTCACTTCTATTAATTCCACCTGAATTCAGTAATAACAATAAAACCTGACCGGACCTCCTCCACAACCTCACCGCAATGTTGTGTTGTTTCTCTCTCCCTCTACTCTTTCCTCTTCTTCTCCTTTCGCTTCTCTTTATTCCTCCTGTTTCCACTGTTTCTATCCATGCAAAGAAACAATCACAGCCACCAAACACGGATCTCCAGCCCACCACCATGGTTCCGTCTGAGGCTGAGATCCTTTTCAAGATAATGGAATCCATGTCCTCCGATCAAACCTGGAGACTCTCCTATCCAAACCCTTGTAAACCTGCCTCATCTTGGCCTGGAATCGAGTGCAAACCAGGCTCAGATAACTTCCTTCATGTCTCTAGGCTTGATTTTGGCTCCTTTCCAAGCCCAAATTGCAAGAAAACTGCCACATTCCCAACTAAAGTCTTTACTCTTCCTTACCTGCAGTCAATGTTCTTCCTCAATTGTTTCACTCATACCAAAACTTCTCTCCCTTTTCCAAACAGCCTCTCAAATTCTTCACTTCGACAACTAAGTCTCCGTTCGAATCCGGCACTTGTTGGTCCCATTCCACCACAATTGTCTTCATTGAAGTCCCTACAAATACTCACATTGTCACAAAATCATTTCACTGGACCAATCCCTGTTGAAATATTCAGCTTGACCTCTTTAGTGCACATAGATTTGAGCTATAACATGCTAACAGGTACCATCCCAACCCAAGTGGGTAATCTGAAAAACCTTCTAGGCCTTGATTTGAGCTATAATTCTCTTACAGGCCCAATCCCTGAGACGATTGGCCAGCTCGCTATGCTTCAAAAGCTTGATTTGAGCTCGAATTCACTTGTCGGTAGGATTCCTGATAGCATTGAAAAGCTCAAGTTTTTGATTTTCATGGCTTTGAGTAACAACAGACTTGGAGGAAATTTTCCAAAAGGATTGTCTAAGTTACAATGCTTGCAATACTTTATTATGGATGATAATCCAATGTTCGTAACTTTGCCCGTAGAGCTTGGCATGTTAGTGAAACTACAAGAGCTCAGGCTTGCCAATTCAGGGTATTCAGGCACTATACCACCTAGCTTGTCAATGCTTATGAAATTAAGCACTCTGTCTCTTCAAAACAACAGATTAACAGGGGAAATCCCAACGAGTTTTGCAAGTTTCTCTCACATTTATCACTTGAATCTCAGCAGAAATTTGCTTGATGGAGTTGTTCCATTCAATGCAAGTTTCTTGAAGAGGTTGGGGAGGAATTTGGATCTTAGTGGAAATCCAGGTCTCTGTTTGAGTTCAACTGGAGCATATAGGGTGAAAATTGGAGTTGGTATTTGCCGCAACAATGTTTCTCTGAGCCAGCCATTAAACAAGTCTCAAGCTCCACCAGGACTCTCCAATTCATTCTTTCTATTTGGTGTTTTGGGTGTTTTTGGTTTGCATCAACTATCATTTCTATTATGATTTCACTACTAAAAAGTTACTCTTCTTCCTTATCTTGGTCTTTTAATCAGTTCTATTATCATTATTTTTCCCAGGTAGTCTTTATAAAAATTAGCTATGGTCTAATAGAATATGTAATAAATATTATATTGATGTGCATTTGGATTCTAGTTTCTAAATATCTGGATTTAGTTGTGCGCTGGTATTTTAGGTTTTCTGATTTCCTAAGACTTAGCAGAACCATCTACAGTACTGAGAATATCAGTTTGACCCCAAAACTTATTGCAGGTTTGGCCTTAGCAAACTTTAGAATTGGACTGTACCATGTGCATGATGTCGGAGTAGAAGCAATTCATAAGTGACAACGCTAATCTAGTTGAGTGTTGTTACCTTTCCACCTGCTTCTTTGGATTTATTTCCTATTTCCTTTCCAGAGTGACATTGATATAATTGCTTGCACTAATTAAACCTTGATCAACTCTTTTGCAATTAGCAGAGAAAAAAAAAAGGAGAAAAGAAATTAATTCATGGAGGTCCAAGCAAAATTTGTGTTTTCTGTTTGAGATGTCTTTGGAATTTCTTGCATGCAATCATTTTCAAAGAAATGAAAAGCCGAAACCTTTCAATTTAATATACTTGTACGTTGAAAATGAAGGAAAATATATATGAATTAAGTATTTAAGTGGGGGGAAATTCCAATAATGCATCATATTCAAGGGAAGTCACCGTTATTCTCTTACTTGGCAAGTTAACGAGCATGCGAGCCAAAATATATATAGTATACATCGGTGCCTATTACTATGAGCATGTGAGAAAGAACATGAACATGATCTGACACTTATTTTTACATACATTTTTGTATATAGCCAGTCTGCTGTCGTATTCCACTTATCACTTGCTTCAGGATTCTTCTTGTTTCTGTCAGATGCCTTGGACAATTACATTTGCCAAAGGCTTTAATTCCTGTTTTGTTTCTATGGACCACAAACACTCTTGATCCAGTCAGGGAAATAAACGGAAAATGCTGAAGGCCAATAAGGTCATGTTCAATGATTGATCAAAATTTGGAACTACAATTATAAAATGCCACAAACAAAATTGATGAGCCTTGATAGATTTAATTAGATTCACTTTAAAATAGTCTAATAGACCCCATTTTAAAAAAGTAAGCTTGTTATTATGCTAAATTAAATGCGAGTTTTTTTGGTTAAAAATATTTAAAAATTAAGTTATAAACAACATTGAGATTTCTTATGTTTGCATGTGGCTACAAGTCCCCGTTTGGCCATGCCAGTGGAGGCTACAATTTGCTGGGGAAAGTGGAAATATCAAAGGAGTAGGTACTGTAGAGAGAGTCATTGATCACTGTTTGGGAGGGCAAATTTTGAAATGAACGCAAATGAATGAAACTTTGTGAGTTTTAAAGGAAATGGTGATATAATGCAAAACAAAAAAAAAAAAAAAATGAAAGCAAACAAAAGGGAGTGGGGTTTGTTAAGACAAAAGAATGCAGTGCTTGATGAACAAAGACCAACAGAGGGACTGGCCCTCTCAAGGACAGTTTAGGAGAAAAAAAAAAAAAACCTGGAGAAAGCTGTATCCTAATCCCAAGCTGAATCTTACAGGGAAATTATTTAAACAGTTTTCAACAGGAGTTTATATTTGTAAATTTTTAATGCATAAATTTTATATATTATTTGTAAATCAGATAATGTTAAAAAATATATATATAAATTAATATTTTTAAAAAATTTATTTATTAATAAAAAAAATCATTATATTCATAATTAATGTATAAAATCTATTTACTAATACTACACCGTATGTAAATCTTTTCAACAATATATAAGTACACGTTGAGCTGCGGATTGCAGTCTTTGATTTACCTATTTTACCCATTACCCTACCAATATTTGAATCTGTCTTTGTTGGTTTGCTTCATGTAATAATTTATAATCATTACTTTGTTGAATTTAAATTTGTGCTTATTCTTATTGTTGCCAAGTTTTCACAAAACTGCAGGTTTTTTAACCGCTATTTTTTTTTTATAAAAAATCATAATTTAAAAATAAAAAATTATAAATATTAAAACTTAAATTTTAATACGATGAATGTAAAATTTTAAAAACAATTTGATGAATTGAATTAAATCCGAACTCATCATTGTTTTCCCCTTCTAATGACTAGCTATTGCATTTAGAATGAAACTGTCAAAATATAGAATCCTGAAAATAGAATCAAATTCATAGTGCTGAAATTGCAAATATTTTTGTTTGTTTGTATTTATTTGTATCATAAAAAAACTATGTTCATTTAACTTTTCTCAAACAGGAGAAAAACAGTGAAAAGAAAGCAAAAAGAAAAGCAGAGAAACAATCAAGTAAAGATAATGTTTGTACTGGAAACAAGATCAGTATCCCACGTGAGAGCCTGAAACATGTTCTCAACTTTGTTTGGCAAAGAGGGAAACTGATTAGATTTTATTTGGAGTCCCCATCAATCTCCTTAGCCAACCCCAACCCCTCATCCCACTCAAGTCCTTTTCTCCTTACTATATTATACTATTTCCTTCCTCCCAAATTCTCTCCAAATCAATCAAAAGTTTGATTTGATATAAATTTTTTTTAAAAATTAATTTTATTTTAATGTATTTATATATTTTTTATAATGACCGAATAGTTTCGTGACCTAACTTTTAAAAAAGTATTATAAATTCTTGTAAAGAGAATTAAATTGTAATACGATAGAGGTGACAAAAATATCAAAAGTACGTAGCATAAAATTCTTTAGAGAATTTGAGCAGATGATGAAAGGATGGATGGTATTCCTGAACTTTGGATGGAGATAACTCCAAATCTTCTTAATATTAGGTTTTGGTATTTAAGCAAGAAGTGGCTGGCTCGTGCATTAATGTTTTTTGGTTGCAATGAATTCCTATAACTTAAGATGAAGTTTCTCGATTGGAATATTTGACTCATCAAGAAGATAAAAAAATCTAGAGGGATTGATTCTTTGTAGGAGGAAGATTTTGAAAAAGTGGACGGGTTCAAACTTAAAGAAGAATAGAGAGATAACATTCAATGACAAAAAAATTTACAAATTAATATGAAATATAAAAAATCAAGAATTATAAAGTTTTGATTTTATGGTTTTGGTTTTATGGAAATTATCACAAATTTTTTATGTGATTTAATTTAATCACAATCAAACGATTCTACTCATAATAATAACTAAATTTTATTTTAAATATTTTATAATAAATCTACTTTTAATTATAATTTTGTGATTGCGATTAATAAGTAGCTTACTCTTCTACTATTTCACTCATCCCATGTTTCTTTTAATACGGTAAGTTTCATTGCAAAGTAAGTTGAGTTTTGTTATTTCTCCAACTCCTAATCAATCTTCATTCTAATTATTTCTTTCCATTAGCAAACTAATTTGGGCTATTTTGTTTTTTCACATCCACCTTTTTTTATAGGAAAATCTTTTCTCTATTATCTTTTATTTTTGTTAATTAAAAAAAAAAGAGAGGATGAAACAAAAGCAACTTTTCCTAAAGAATTTTCTTGTTTTAATTAATCTCTAATTTGATAATTTAATTAAAGAGCTTATATTTGATACACTATTAGTATACAAATTTTATATATTATTAGTGACTCGATGATATTTTATCATTAATGAATAAATATTAATTCTTAAAATAATATAAAAATTAATTTTTTTAAAAAATTTACTCATTACTGAGATAGTATCATTTTATTCATCTTATTAATAAAGTATCATTATTTAATTCATTGACAATGCATAAAATTTATACAAGAGTGTATATGATATGCAAGAGTGCTTGTGCACAATGTGGATGACAGGGCAAACCGACGCCATTGTCTTCATCAAGGAACATGCAAAGCAGCATGGATAGTGACGGCATCAGTGGCTTGAGCTACAAATGAGATGAGAATGGGTGTGTATCAACATCACGGATTGTCACCCTTGGAGAGCACGCTAGGGTGGCATCCTCCACCGCAAGGCCAATACAAAGTTAACGTGGATACAGCGTTCAAAGCTGGGGAAAATATGGCGGAAGTGGACATGGTAGTAGGAGATTTTACTGGGAAAGTATACTTCTCCGCTGTTTTAAGATTTTCCTGTGTGGACAATCCCTTGCAGGCTGAGATCAAAGCAACCCCGTGGGGCTTGAGGTTGGTTAGTGCTCATGGTTTGGTGGAAGTAAGTTTGGAAAGTGATTGCTTGTTCGCAATCAACGAAATTTTCCATCGGGAGATTTCACTATGACCGGATGGTACTTTGGTTTCAAGTATTAAGGATGTAATTACGTCTTTCCATATTTGTTTATTTAATCATGTTAAGAAGGAGGCTAATAAGTTGGCTCGTAGAATTGCAAAAACTGAATTTTGGTGGGTTTCTATCCCAACCTCTGTTTGTAATCCTGATTTGATTTAATGGAAACTATTTTATTATAAAAAAATTAAATGACATTTAAAATTTTATTTTTTTAACTTCAAATTTAGTTCAATGAATTTATTTAATTATTTAAAAAAAATCTAATAAATTTGAAAATTTAAAATTTTTGTACTTGCAATTTATTTTTTAATTCTCAAACTACGACTTTGTTGTGTAAAAATAATTTTTTAAAATCGATTATCCTATTACAGAAGTGACCCTATAAGCTTTCAATTTCACATCTCTTTAAAATTATAATTACAATAAAATTTTGATATTTTCGCCTTTCACTTTCAAAAGCACAAATTCTTTAAAAAAAGATAATTAAAGTCTTGTTATTCAACAATATAACATGATTTATATACCCGTGTTAACTATCTTAATATTATTAAATTTGAGAGGGAAGGGTAAAATCTTATATATTTATTTAGTTTCCTCATCTCAGTTCTGACACCTATGGACTCCATCCCCTTAAGATGTAAATAAGTTAGTGCTGATCAGTTTGCATGAAAAAGAGCCCATTCTATTTTGGGTTGCATTTGCTTTGTACAGTACAGGTAATAAAAAAGGTAGACGAGTTTGAGTTTCC